AATGGAAGCGGCTCTGATTGTATAAATAGAGGCACGGTGGAGTAATGGATAGCGGTCGGATTGAGGATTGAAGGAGGCACGGTGGAGTAATGGATCCAGTCGGATGAAGGATTGAAAGGAGGCACGGTGGAGTAATGGATAGCGGTTGTGATTGAAGGAGGCATCGTTCTCCCCCAGAGCGGTTGTGATTGAAGGAGGCACGGTGGAGTAATGGATAGCGGCTCTGATTGAAGGAGGCACGGTGGAGTAATGGATAGAGGCTCGGATTGAAGGAGGCATGGAGTAATGCGAGCGGCTCTGATTGAAAGAGGCACGGTGGAGTAATGGATAGCTAATGTGATTGAAGAAGGTATGAATCCTCTTAATGGATCCCCCAGATATGATTAAAAGAAGGACGGTGGAGTAATGGACAGCGGCTGTGATTGAAGGAGGCACGGTGGAGTAATGGATAGAGGCTCGGATTGAAGGAATCAGTGGAGGTAATGGATTTGAATTCTGATTGAAGGAGGCATTACATTAATGGATAGGTGCTAGGATTGAAGGAAAGGTATGAATAATGGAGGAGCGGCCTCAGATTGAAGGAGGCAGAAGGACATAATGGATAGCGGTTGTGATAGAAGAGGCACGGTGGAGTAATGGATAGAGGCTCTGATTGAGGAATCAGAAAGTGGAGTAATGGATAGCAGTGTGATTGAAGGAGGCATAGGTGGAATAATACCCTTGGGAAAGATTGAAGGAGGCACGGTGGAGAATGGATAGCGGCTGATTGAGGAGGCCGTGTTCTAATGGCGAGTAATGGATAGGAGGCACGGTGGAGTAATGGATAGAGGCTCGGATTGAGGAATGGAAAGGCGAGTTTGAATTCCAGTCGAATGGATTAATGGATGGCGGTTGATTGAAGGAGGCATCGGGAAATAATGGATAGCCCAGATATGGATTGAAGGAGGCATCGTGGTAATGGATAGCGGCTCTGATAGATAGAGGCACGGTGGAGTAATGGAGCGGAGGATTGAAGGAGGAATCGAAAGAATAATGGAATTCCAGTCGAATCCATTGGACATTCACTTAGGATTGAAGGAATGCACGGTGGGAAATGGATATGGTTGTGATTGAAGGAGGCTCGGTGGATAATGGATAAATAGAAGGAAGGAGGCGTGTTCTATAATGGATAGCGGTTAGATAGGAGGCACGGTGGAGTAATGGATAGCGGCTCGGATTGAAGGAATCAGAGGCACGGTGGAGTAATGGATAGCGGTTGTGATTGAAGGAGGCAGTGGAATAATGGATAGCGGTTAATGATTGAAGGAGGTATCGGTGGAGTAATGGATAGCGGTTGTGATTGAAGGACATCTGGTGTTAATGGATAGCGGTTGTGATTAGATAGAGGCACGGTGGAGTAATGGATAGCGGCTCGGATTGAGGAATCAGAAAGGAGAGTTGGATTCCAGTCGATTGAATTACATTCACTTAATGGATGCGGCTTGATTGAAGGAGGCACGATGAATAATGGATAGCCCAGATATGGGTAAATGGAAGGCGGCACCGTGAGGAATGGATAGCGTGTATAGATTGAAGGAGGCACGGTGGAGTAATGGATAGAGGTTGGATTGAGGAATCAGAAAGGAATAATGGATAGCAGTCGAATCCATGGACACGGTGGATTAATGGATGAGCTAATGATTTGGGCACGGTGGAGTAATGGATAGCGGTTCTGATTGAAGGAGGCACGGTGGATAATGGATAGCGGAAGGACATACCGGCACGGTGGAGTAATGGATAGCGGTTGTGATAGATAGAGGCACGGTGGAGTAATGGATAGCGGCTCGGATTGAAGGAACGGTGGAATAATGGCGAGTTCTGATTGAAGGAGGCACGGTGGACATAATGGATAGGTGCTAATTGATTGAAAGGTGGGAATCCTCTTTGAGGCACTCCCCCAGATAATGGGTATAATCTGATTGAAGGAGGCACGGTGGTTAATGGATAGCGGTTGTGATTGAATAGAGGCACGGTGGAGTAATGGATAGAGGCTCTGGATTGAAGGAATCAGAAAGGCGAGTTTGAATTCCAGTCGAATGTGATTGGAAGGACTTAGGTGGATAATGGATAGGGTTGTGAGGTATGAATCCTCAGGTCCCCAGATATGGATAAGCGGCTGGATGAAGGACATAATTGTGGAGTAATGGATAGCGGTTGTGATTGAAGGAGGCACGGTGGAGTAATGGATAGCGGCTCGGATTGAGGAATCAGAAAGGCGAGTTTGAATGGACAGCGAATGGATTGAAGGAGGCACGGTGGAGTAATGGATAGCGGAAAGGATTGAAAGAGGCATCTTGGAATAATGGATATGGTTAAATTGAAGGACATACCGTGGAATAATGGCGCGTGTGATAGATAGAGGCACGGTGGAGTAATGGATAGCGGCTCGGATTGAGGAATCACGGTGGACGAATGGATAGCGGTCGAATGAATTACATTCACTAATGGTGCTAATACCCTTGATTTGAAGGAAGGCATCGTGGAATAATGGACAGCGGGGTAAATTGAAGGACACGGTGGTGTAATGGATAGCGCGTGTATAGATAGAGGCACGGTGGAGTAATGGATAGAGGCTTGGATTGATTGAATCAGAAAGGCGAGTTGGAATTAATGGTCGAATCCATTGTGATTGAAGGAGGCACGTGGAATAATGGAAAGGTATGGCTTTTGATTTCCCCAGATAATGGGTAAATAGAAGGACATACCGTGTTCTATGGAGCGGTATGATTGAAGGAGGCACGGTGGAGTAATGGATAGAGGCTCGGATTGAGGAATCATAATGGAAAGCGAGTTGGATTTCAGTCGAATCCATTACATAATCACTTAGTGCTAATGATTGAAGGAGGAACGGTGGAGAAATGGATGAGGGTTGTGGATTGAAGGAGGAAGGACATACCAATGGATAGCGGTGTATAGATAGGAGGCACGGTGGAGTAATGGATAGAGGCTCGGTGGATTGAGGAATCAGAAAGTTGGAGTTAATGGATTCGGAGTCGATTGATTAGGCACGGTGGAGTAATGGATAGCCCTTGATTGAGGGATGGATCTAAGGAATCTCCCCAGATATGGATAAATGGATAGGACATGGAAGTAATGGAAGCGGCGTGATAGATAGGAGGCACGGTGGAGTAATGGATAGAGGCTCGGATTGAGGAATCAGAAAGGCGAGGAGTAATGGATAGCGAATCGGATTGAAGGAGGCAGGTGCTATGGAGGAATGGGAAAGGGTTGAATGAAGGAGGCACGGTGGGTAATGGATATGGGTAAATAGAAGGACATACCGTGTTCTAATGGATTGTATAGATAGAGGCACGGTGGAGTAATGGATAGAGGCTCGGATTGAGGAATCACGGTGAGTTTAATGGATCGAATCCATTACATTGATGGAGGGATACCCTGGGGGTGGATGAATGGATAGAGGATCCCCGGAAGTATAAATAGAAGGACAACCGTGTTCTACCGCGCGTGTATAGATAGAGGCACGGTGGAGTAATGGATAGAGGCTCGGATTGAGGAAGGAGAAAGGCGTGTTTGAATGGACAGCGAATCCATCTGATTGGAATGGTGCTAATGGATTGGGAAACGGTGGGTAATGGAGCCTCTTGGATTGAAGGAGGCACGGTGGAGTAATGGATAGCGGTTCACGGTGGAGTGATTGAAGGAGGCACGGTGGAGTAATGGATAGAGGCTCGGATTGAGGAATCACGGTGGAGGAATGGATAGCGGTCTGATTAATGGGATTCACTTAGGAGCTAATGGATAGCGGTTGGGATTGAAGGAGGCATCGGTGGAATAATGGATATGGATGTGATTGAAGGGGCATACCGTGTGGATACCGGCGTGATAGAAGGAGGCACGGTGGAGTAATGGATAGAGGCTCTGATTGAAGGAGGCACGGTGGAGTAATGGATATTCCAGTCGAATCCAGGGCACGGTGGTGCTAATGGATAGCGGAAAGGGATTAAAGGAGGCACGGTGGAGTAATGGATGCGGTAAATTGAAGGAGGCACGGTGGAGTAATGGATAGCGGCTATGATAGAAGGAGGCACGGTGGAGTAATGGATAGAGGCTGTGATTGAAGGAGGCACGGTGGAGTAATGGATAGCGGCACGGTGATTGAAAGGAGGCACGGTGGAGTAATGGATAGCGGTTGTGATTGAAGGAGGCATCGGTGGAGTAATGGATAGCGGCTAAATTGAAGGAGGCACGGTGTAATGGATGGATGATAGATAGGAGGCACGGTGGAGTAATGGATAGCGGCTCGGATTGAAGGAGGCACGGTGGAGTAATGGATAGCGGTTGTGAATGGAAGGAGGCACGACATGAATAATGGATAGCGGTTGTGATTGAAGGAGGCATGATGGATAATGGACCCCAGCGGTGGTAATTGAAGGAGGCACGGTGGAGTAATGGACAGCGGCTCTGATAATGGAAGGAGGCACGGTGGAGTAATGGATAGCGGTTGGATTGAATGGGAGAGGCACGGTGGAGTAATGGATAGCGAGGCACGGTGATTGGAAGGAGGCACGGTGGAGTAATGGATAGCGGTTCTGATTGAAGGAGGCACGGTGGAGTAATGGATAAGCGGCTCTGGAGAAGGACAAGGAATGGATACCGAGTTATAGAAGGAGGCACGGTGGAGTAATGGATAGCGGCTCTGATTGGAGGAGGCACGGTGGAGTAATGGATAGCGGCACAGTGGATAATGGAGGAGGCACGGTGGAGCTAATGGATAGTATGGATTCTCCCCAGGTGGAGTAATGGATAGCGGGATTGGATTAAAAGAATGGATAGCGGTTGTATTGAAGGAGGCGGCGGTGAGTAATGGATAGCGGGTTGTGATTGAAGGAGGCACGGTGGAGTAATGGATAGCGGCTCGGATTGAGGAATCAGAGGTGGAGTAATGGAGCGTAATGGATTGAAGGAGGCACGGTGGAGTAATGGATAGCGGCTCGGATTGATTAAGGAGGCACGGGAGTAATGGATGGCACGGTCTGATGGAAGGAGGCACGGTGGAATAATGGAGGAGGCGGTTGGATTGATGGAGGAGGCACGGTGGGTAATGGAGTAATGGATTGAAGGAGGCACGGTGGAGTAATGGATAGAGAGGAGGATTGGTGGAGGCACGGTGGAGTAATGGATTGAAGGAATTCACTTGGAGTTGGAAGGAGGCACGGTGGAGTAATGGATAAGCGGTGGGAATGGAAGGAGGAGGCGGGAGCGGTAATGTGATTGGATAGGAGGCACGGTGGAGTAATGGATAGCGCACGGTGGATTGAGGAATCGGAAGGAGTTGGACGTGGCTGGAATGGAAGGAGGGAGTTCATGGCTAAATACTAGAGGAGGCACGGTGGAGTAATGGATATGGCGGCTCTTGGATTGGAGAAGGAGGCAGGTGGAGTAATGGGAGGAGGCACGGTGGAGGAGGCACGATGGAAGGAGGAGGCACGGTGGAAGTAATGGATAGAGGAGGCGGATTGAGTAATGGAGAGGAGGTGGCGTAATGGGAATAATGGTTGTGATTGAAGGAGGCACGGTGGAGTAATGGACAGCGTTTGGAAGGAGGCACGATGGAGTAATGGAGGCGGCTATGATTGAAGGAGAAGGACTCGGAGTAATGGATAAGCGGCTGGATAGAGGAGGCACGGTGGAGTAATGGATAGCGGCTCGGATTGGAGGAGCGGTGGAGTAATGGATAGCGGTTATGATTGGAGGAGGCACGGTGGAATAATGGATAGCGGGCAGGATTGAAGGATAATGGATCGTGGAGTAATGGACAGCGAATGGATAGAAGGAGGCACGGTGGAGTAATGGATAGCGGGGATGATTGAAGGAGGCACGGTGGTAATGGATGGAGTTAGATTGAAGGAGGCACGGTGGAGTAATGGATAGCGGCTCGGATGGATTGAAGGAGGCACGGTGGAATAATGGATAATACGGTGATTGAAGGAGGCACGGTGGAGTAATGGATAGCGGCTCGGATTGAGAATCGGGGAGTAATGGTGGATAATGGCACGGTGGAGTGATGGATAAGAGGCACGGTGGAGGAATGGAGAGTAATGGATAGGAGGCACGGTGGAGTAATGGAAGGAGGCACGGTGGAGTAATGTGGAGTAATGGAGTTCGAATTGAAGGAGGCACGGTGGAGTAATGGATAGCATTCGGATTGAAGGAGGGAAAGAGGAGGCGGTTGGGTAATGGATGAAGGAGGCACGGTGGGTAATGGATAATGTGATTGAAGAGGAGGGACGGTGGAATAATGGATACCGCGGTGATTGAGAGGAGGCACGGTGGAGTAATGGATAAGCGGGCTGATTGAAGGAATCGGTGGAGGAATGGATATTCCAGATTGAAGGAGGCACGGTGGAGTAATGGGAATGGATAATGGAGTAATGGATTGAAGGAGGCACGGTGGAGTAATGGATAGCGGTTGTGGAGGAATGGGAGGCACGGTGGAGTAATGGAGAGGCGGCTGTGATGGAGAATGGAGAGGGCACGGTGGAGTAATGGATAGCGGTTTACATGGATTGGAGAGGAGGCACGGTGGAGTAATGGGAGGCGGAAAGGTGATTGAAGGAGGCAGGTGGAATAATGGAGTAGCGGCTCCAGATTGAAGGCACGGTGGAGTAATGGATAGCGGGAGTGATTGAGGATTAATGGATAAGGACAGCGGCTCTGATTGGAAGGAGGCACGGTGGAGTAATGGGAGAGGAGGCACGATTGAAGGAGGGACGGTGGAGGTAATGGATGGAGTAATGGAGAAGGAGGCACGGTGGAGTAATGGATAAGAGGAGGACGGAAGGTAATGGTGGGGGATGGCGAGTGGAGTAATGGATTGAGAGGAGGCACGGTGGAGTAATGGATAGAGGCACGGATTGAGGAATGGGAGGGAGGCACGGTGGAATAATGGATAGGGACGGTGGAAGGATGGATAGCGGCTAATGGGAAGGAGGAACGATGGGTAATGGATAGCGGTTCTGATTGAAGGAGGCACGGTGGAGTAATGGGAGGGGTGGAGTAATTGAAGGAGGCACGGTGGAGTAATGGATAGGAGTTGTGAGGAGAGAGGCATGGTGGAATAATGGGAGGCGGTGGTGAATGGAGGAGGCACGGTGGAATAATGGAGAGGAGGCACGGTGGATTAATGGAGAGGAGGCTGACGGTGGAGTAATGGATAATGGGGAGGCATTGAAGGAGTAATGGGATGGGCAATGGTTAATGATTGAAGGAGGCACGGTGGAATAATGGAGGCACGGTGGAGATTGAAGGAGGCACGGTGGGAGGATGGCGGTGGAGTTGAATGGAGAGGAGGCACGGTGGAGTAATGGATAGCGGCTTGATTGAAGGAATGGGACGAGTTGGATAGTAATGGGCACGGTGGAGTAATTGAAGGAGGCACGGTGGAGTAATGGAGAGCGGGCTGATTGAGAGGATGGGCACGGAGGATGGTAATGGATGGATATGTAATGGAAGGAGGCACGGAATAATGGATAATGGATTGAGAGGAGGCACGGTGGAGTAATGGATAGCGATGGATGATGGAAGGAGGCACGGTGGAGTAATGGAGAGCGGCACGATGGTGTAATGGAGAGGAGGCACGGTGGAGTAATGGGAGGAGGCAAGTGGAATATTGGAGAGGAGGCACGGTGGAGTAATGGATAGGAGCGGTTGTGACGGAAGGAGGCAACCGTGAATAATGGAGGAACGGTGGAGTAATGGAGAGGAGGCACGGTGGAGTAATGGGGAGGAGGCACGGATTGAAGGAATGGAGAGGCGAGGATAATGGAGGAGGAACGATGGATAATGGAAGGAGGCACGGTGGCACGGTGGAGTAATGGATAGGCACGATGGATTAATGGAGAGGAGGCGAATGGAGTAATGGAGAGCGGTAATGGATTGAAGGAGGCACGGTGGAGTAATGGATAGGAGGAGTAATCGGATGGAATGGAGGAGGCACGGTGGAGTAATGGAGAGGAGGCACGGTGGAGTAATGGAGAGGAGGGATTGGAGTAATGGATGGAGGAGGGACGGTGGAGTAATGGATAAGGAGGCACGGTGGAGTAATGGATAGCGGCTCTGGAGGAGAGGAGGCACGGTGGAGTAATGGATAGAGGAGGATGGAAGAGGAATGGAACGGTGGAGTAATGGATGGAGAGGAGGCACGGATGAGTAATGGGAGGAGGCACGATGGATTAATGGAGAGGAGGCACGGTGGAGTAATGGAGAGGAGGCACGGTGGAGTAATGGGAGATAATGGTTAATGGAGAAGGAGGCACGGTGGAGTAATGGGGAGGAGGCACGATTGGATTAATACGGTGGAGGAGGCACGGTGGAGTAATGGAGAAGGAGGCACGGATGGAGTAATGGAGATGGAGAGGAGGGTTGGAAAATGGAGAGGAGGCACGAAGGAGTAATGGGAATGGATACGGTTTGGGAGAGGAGGCACGGTGGAGTAATGGAGAGCGGCTGGATTGGTGGAATGGAGAGGGGCGGTGGAGTAATGGATAGGAGGCGAATTAATTGGAGGAGGCACGGTGGAGTAATGGAGATAGCGGCACGGTGGAGTAATGGAGAGGAGGACGGTGGGTAATGGATGGAGGAGGAATTGGTGAGTAATGGAGGAGGAGGCACGGTGGAGTAATGGAGAGGAGGCACGGTGGATTAATGGAGGAGGCACGATTGAGTAATGGATAGTGGAGTAATGGATGTAATGGAGGGGGCGGTGGAGTAATGGATGGAGGAGGGACAGTGGATTAATGGAAGGAGGCACGGTGGAGTAATGGATAGAGGCTCGGATGGTGAAGGGAGAGTAATGGTGGAGTAATGGAGCGGCAAGATGATTGAGGAATGGGCATCGGAGGATGGCAGCGGTGGAGTAATGGAGAGGAGGCACGGTGGAGTAATGGGGAGGTGGCTTGATTGATGGAGTAATGGAGAGCTATTAATGGATGGAGTAATGGAGAGAGGAGGCACGGTGGAGTAATGGATAGAGGCTCGGATTGTGGAATGGAGGAGGCGGAGGCAATGGGCGGGAGTAATGGATAGAGGAGGCACGGTGGAGTAATGGATAGCGGCTCGGATGGAATTGGAGGAGAGTTCGTGGAGTAATGGAGAGGAGGGAACGGTGGTGGATGGATGTAATGGAGGAGGGGCGGATTGAGTAATGGAGGAGAGGAGGCACGGTGGATTAATGGGGAGGAGGCACGGTGGAGTAATGGAGAGGAGGCACGGTGGAGTAATGGAGAGGGGGGATTGGAGGAATGGAGAGGAGGCACGGTGGAGTAATGGGAGAGGATTGATTGGATTAATGGGAGGGAGGCACGATGGAGTAATGGAGAGGAGGGCACGATGGAGTAATGGAGGAGGCAGGATTGGAGTAATGGGAGAGGAGGCACGGATGGAATGGAGAGGAGGCACGATGGAGTAATGGATAGGAGGCACGATTGGTGTAATGGAGGTTGGAGGCACGGTGGAGTAATGGAGAGGAGGCACGGATGGAGTAATGGATAGAGGCTTGGGTTGGAGTAATGGAGGAGGAGGATGGGTAATGGGTAGTGTAATGGAGGAGGAGGCACGGTGGAGTAATGGGAGGAGGCACGGATGGAGTAATGGGAGGAGGTGGCTGGATTAATGGAGGAGGAGAATGGACGGTGGAGTAATGGAGTTGGATTGGAGGAGGCACGGTGGAGTAATGGAGAGGGAGGAGAGGAGGCGGATGGATTAATGGAGAGGAGGCACGGTTGAGTAATGGAGAGGATGGAGAATGGATGGCGGTAATGGAGAGGAGGCACGGTGGAGTAATGGATAGAGGCACGGATGGATTAATGGAGAGGAGGCACGGTGGAGTAATGGAGAGGCGGAACGATGGTGTAATGGAGAGGCACGGTGGAGTAATGGAGTGGATTGGAGAGGAGGCACGATGGAGTAATGGGGGAGGGAGGCACGATGGATTAATGGAGAGGAGGCACGGTGGAGTAATGGATAGCGGCTCGGATTGTAATGGAGAGGCACGGTGGAGTAAATGGAGAGGAGGCGGAAGAAGGAGTAATGGGGAGCAATGGATAGCGGATGGATTAATGGAGAAGGAGGCACGGTGGAGTAATGGATAGCGGCTCTGATTGAAATGGATGTGAGGCACGGTGGAGAGCGGTTGGATAATGGAGTGGGCAAGATGATTAATGGAGGAGGCACGATGGAGTAATGGATAGAGGAGGAATTGGTGGAGTGGAGATGGAATTAATGGATGGCGGCTGGATGTAATGAGAGGAGGCAGGAGGAATGGATAGCGGCTTGGATTGGAATGGAGGAGGCACGATGGAGTAATGGAGAGAGGCGGATTGGGGTAATTGGAGGAGGCGCGATGGAGTAATGGATAGGGTAATGGATTAATGGAGAGGAGGCACGGTGGAATAATGGAGGCGGAACGATGGATTAATGGAGAGGAGGCACGGTGGAGTAATGGATAGAGGAGGCACGGTGGAGTAATGATTCCAATGGACAGCGGCTCGGATTGAGTAATGGAGAGGAGGCACGGTGGAGTAATGGATAGGAGGCTCGGATTGATTAATGGGAGGAGGCACGATGGAGTAATGGGATAGCGGAACGACATGTAATGGAGAGGAGTAATGGGTGGAGTAATGGAGGAGGCACGATGGAGTAATGGAGAGGATGGATGAATTGAGGCACGATGGATTAATGGATGGATTGAGGAAATGGAGAGGAGGAACGATGGAGTAATGGAGAGGAGGGTGGATTGAGGAATGGAGGAGGCAGAGATGGAGTAATGGGAAAGGGGACGATGGAGGTAATGGAGAGGAGGCACGGTGGAGTAATGGATAGGTTGGAATGGAATGGAGGAGGAGGAGGCAATGGATAATCTATTCGGAGTAATGGAGAGGAGGCACGATGGAGTAATGGATAGGAGGCACGGATGGAGGAATGGAGAGGAGGCACGATGGAGTAATGGAGAGGAGGATTGAAGGAATTGGAGGAGGTAATGGAGTAATGGAATGGATTGAGTAATGGGGAGGAGGCACGATGGATTAATGGACAGAGGCTCGGGTAGGAATTGGAGGAGGCAATGGAGTAATGGAGGCACGTTGGAGTGGAATTGGAGGAGGCACGATGGATTAATGGGAGAGGGGTAATGGAGGAGTAATGATGGAGGAGGATAGCTGGTGGATTAATGGAGAGGAGGCACGATGGATTGATTGATGGCTAAGGAGGGCACGATGGAGTAATGGATAGCGGGGTGGATTGAGTAATTGGAGGAGGCAGGATGGATTAATGGATAGGAGGCACGGATGGATTAATGGAGAGGAGGCACGATGGAGTAATGGATAGGAGGCTTGGATTGAGTAATGGAGAGGAGGCACGGTGGAGTAATGGATAGGAGGCACGATTGATTAATGGAGAGGAGGCACGATGGAGTAATGGATAGGAGGCGGATTGAGGAATGGGAGGAGGCAGGATGGAGTAATGGAGAGGAGGCAAGATTGAGTAATGGGGAGGAGGCACGATGGAGTAATGGAGAGGAGGATTGTGGTGGAGTAATGGAGAGATGGCAAGGATGGAGTAATGAGGATTAGGATGGGTTGGATAATGGATGAGGAGGAGGCACGATGGAGTAATGGAGAGGCTGCTTGGATTGATGGATTAATGGAGAGGAGGATGGAGTAATGGATAGCGGCTCGGATTGGACTGGAGGAGGCAACGATGGAGTAATGGATAGCGGCTTGGATTGAGGAATGGGAGGAGGCACGATGGATTAATGGATAGAGGAGGGACGGTGGAAGTAATGGAGGATGGAGTAATGGATAGATGGTCGGATTGGAGGGAGGAGGCAGGATGGAGTAATGGATAGGAGGCAAGATTGAGTAATGGGGAGGAGGCACGATGGATTAATGGATAGAGGCACGGATTGTGTAATGGAGAGGAGGAACGATGGAGTAATGGATAGTATTACATGGATTGAGTAATGGAGGAGGCACGATGGAGTAATGGATAGAGGCTCGGATTGAGGAATTGAGAGGAGGCAGGATGGAGTAATGGATAGCGGAACGATGGAGGAAGGAGGAGGTGGATGGAGTAATGGATAGAGGCAAGATTGAGGAATGGAGGAGGAGGCACGATGGATTAATGGAGAGGAGGAATTGGAGGAGGCAATGGAGTAATGGAGGAACGATGGAGGAGGTAATGGAGATGGAGGGGTCGGATTGAGGAATGGGAGGAGGCAAGATGGATTAATGGAGGACATTACGGATTGGATTAATGGAGAGGAGGCACGATGGAGTAATGGATAGCTGCTTGGATTGAGGAATGGAGAGGAGGAGGAGAGTAATGGAGGAGATTCGGATGGAGTGAGGAGGGATGATTAATGGGAGGTGGTCGGATGGATTAATGGGAGGAGGCAGGATGGAGTAATGGAGAGGAGGCGGATTGTGGAATGGAGAGGAGGCAGGATGGATTAATGGATAGGAGGCAATCGATTGATTAATGGAGAGGAGGCACGATGGAGTAATGGATAGGGCTTGGATTTGAGGAATGGAGAGGAGGCACGATGGAGTAATGGATATTAACACGATTGAGGAATTGGAGGAGGCACGATGGAGTAATGGATAGCGGCTTGGATTGAGGAATGGAGAGGAGGCACGATGGAGTAATGGAGAGGAGGCTCTGATTGAGGAATTGAGGAGGAGATGGAGGTAATGGATAGTGGCTCGGATTGGGAGGAGGCACGAGTTGGATTAATGGGAACATGGCTCGGATGCTAATTGAGGAACGATGGAGTAATGGAGAGGCTCGGATTGATGAATTAATGGAGGAGGAGGAACGATCTATTAATGGATTGTGGAAGGAGGCACGATGGAGTAATGGATAGCGGCTTGGATTGAGGAATGGAGAGGAGGCAGGATGGAGTAATGGATAGGAGGCTGGATTGAGGAATGGAGTAATGGAGGATGGATTAACGGATGGAGTAATGGATAGGCGGCTCGGATGGTGGAATGGAGGAGGAGGTGATGGAGTAATGGATAGAGGCTCGGATTGAGGAATGGAGGATTAATGGATTAATGGATAGTAACACATGGATTAATTGGAGGAGGCAGGATGGAGTAATGGATAGTAATGGATTGATGGAATTGGAGGAGGCAGGATGGAGTAATGGATAAATTTGGATGGATTAATGGAGGAGGCACGATGGAGTAATGGATAGTGGCACGGATTGAGGAATGGAGAGAGAGGCAGGATGGAGTAATGGATAGATTAACGGATTGTGTAATGGAGAGGAGAAACGATGGAGTAATGGATAGAGGCTTGGATTGAGGAATTGGAGGAGGCACGATGGAGTAATGGATAATGGATTAGGAATTGAGGAGGTACGATGGAGTAATGGGAGGAGGATGGAATGGAGGTAATGGATAATGGATCGGATTGATTGAATGGAGGAGGCAGGATGGAGTAATGGAGTAATGGAGGCTCGGATTGATTAATGGAGGAGGAAGGATGGAGTAATGGAGACTTTACATGATTGAATAATGGGAGGAGGCGCGATGGAGTAATGGATAGTTGGATTGGATTAATGGAGGAGGCAGGATGGAGTAATGGAGAGGTGGAACGATGGATTAATGGAGAGGAGGCAGGATGGAGTAATGGATAGAGGCTTGGATTGAGGAATGGAGGAGGCAGGATGGATTAAGTAATGGATAGGGCTCGGATGAATTAATTGGAGGAGGCAGGATGGAGTAATGGATATGGTGGATTGAGGAATTGGAGGAGGCAGGATGGAGTAATGGAGAGGAGGCGGATTGATTAATTGGAGGAGGCAGGATGGAGTAATGGATAGGAACGATGGATTGAGGAATTGGGAGAGCAGGATGGAGTAATGGATGAGAAGGACACGGATTGATGGAATGGAGAGGAGGCAGGATGGAGTAATGGATAGTGGCTCGGATTGAGATTGAGGAAGGATGGAGTAAGGCAGGATGGATTAATTGAGGAGGGATGGAGTAACACATAATGGATGGATTAATGGATTGGAGGAGGCACGATGGAGTAATGGATAGCGGCTCGGATGGAGGAATGGAGGAGGCAGGTTGGAGTAATGGATAGAGGCTCGTGATTGCTGGAATAATGGAGGAGGCACGATGGAGTAATGGATAGTGGCTTGGATTGAGAAATTGGAGGAGGCAGGATGGAGTAATGGATGGTGGATGATTAATGGAATGGAGGAGGCAGGATGGAGTAATGGATAGTGGCTCGGATTGAGGAATTGGAGGAGGACGATGGAGTAATGGATAGTGGCTGGATGGTGTAATGGAGGAGGCACGATGGAGTAATGGATGGCTGTGGATTTGTAATGGAGGAGGCAGGATGGAGTAATGGATATTACATCGGATTGAGGAATTGGAGGAGGCACGATGGAGTAATGGATAGTGGCTTGGATTGAGGAATGGAGGAGGCAGGATGGAGTAATGGATAGCGGGATGGATTGTGGAATTGGAGGAGGCAGGATGGAGTAATGGATAGTGGCTTGGATTAATGGAATTGGAGGAGGCAGGATGGAGTAATGGATAGCGGCTGGATTGAGGAATTGGAGGAGGCACGATGGAGTAATGGATAGTGGCTTGGATTGAGGAATGGAGGAGGCAGGATGGATAATGGATTAATGGATGGAGGAATTGGATTAATGGGAGTAATGAGGAGGAATCACTGATGGAGTAATGGATAGTGGTGGAGTAATGGATAGTGGGCAATTGGAATTTGGAGGAGGCAGGATGGAGTAATGGAGGAGGCGGATCGGAATGAGGAATTGGAGGAGAATCACGATGGAGTAATGGATAGTGGCTCGGATTGAGGAATGGAGGAGGCACGGATGGAGTAATGGATAGTGGCTCGGATTGAGGAATTGGAGGAGGCAGGATGGAGTAATGGATAGTGGTGTTCGGATTGAGGAGGAGGGACGATGGAGTAATGGATATGGCTTGGAATGAAGGAGGAGTAATGATGGAGTAATGGGAGGAGGCATGGATTGAGGAATGGGAGGAGGCAGGATGGAGTAATGGATGATGGAGTAATGGATTGAGGAATTGGAGGAGGCACGTTGGAGTAATGGATAGTGGCTCGGATTTAATTGGAGGAGGCACGATGGAGTAATGGATAGTGGCTCGGATTGAGGAATCGGGAGGAGGCAGGATGGAGTAATGGATAGCGGCTCGGATTAATGGGAGGAGGCGCGATGGAGTAATGGATAGTGGCTCGGATTGAGGAATTGGAGGAGGCAGGATGGAGTAATGGATGTGTCCGGATTGGAATAGTGGAGTAATGGATAGTGGGATTGAGGAATTGAGGAGGAGGATGGGCAGGATGGAGTAATGGAGGAGCAGATGGAGTAATGGATTGAGCTCGGATTGGAGGAGGCAGGATGGAGTAATGGATAGTGGCTCGGATTGTGGAATTGGAGGAGGCGCGATGGAGTAATGGATAGTGGCTCGGATTGAGGAATGGAGGAGCAGGATGGATAATGGATAGTGGATTCGATTGAGGAATTGGAGGAGGCACGATGGAGTAATGGATAGTGGCTCGGATTGAGGAATTGGAGGAGGCAGGATGGAGTAATGGATAGTGGATCGGAACATGGAAATGGAGGAGGCAGGATGGAGTAATGGATAGTGGCTTGGATTGAGGAATTGGAGGAGGCAGGATGGATTAATGGATAGTGGCTCGGATTGAGGAATTGGAGGAGGCAGGATGGAGTAATGGATAGTGGCGTGGATTGAGGAATTGGAGGCAGGATGGAGTAATGGATAGTGGAGGAGGCAGCGATGGAATAATGGATAGGCTTGGATTGAGGATGGAGTAATGGATATGGATAGTGGCTCGGATTGAGGAATTGGAGGAGGCAGGATGGAGTAATGGATAGCTGCTTGGATTGAGGAATCGGAGGAGGCAGGTTGGAGTAATGGATTAGTAATGGATAAGGAGGAGGCGCGATGGAGTAATGGATAGCTGGTTGGATTGAGGAATGGAGGAGTAATGGATGGATTAATGGATTAGTGGAATGGATTAATGGAATGGAGGAGGCACGATGGAGTAATGGATAGTGGCTTGGATTGAGGAATTGGAGGAGGCAGGATGGAGTAATGGATAGTGGCTCGGATTGAGGAATTGAGGAGGAGGCACGATGGAGTAATGGATAGCGGCTTGGATTGAGGAATTGGAGGAGGCACGATGGAGTAATGGATAGTGGCTCGGATTGAGGAATTGGAGGAGGCAGGATGGAGTAATGGATAGTGGCTCGGATTGAGGAATTGGAGGAGGCAGGATGGAGTAATGGATAGTAATCGGATTGTGGAATTGGAGGAGGCACGATGGAGTAATGGATAGTGGCTTGGATTGAGGAATGGAGGAGGCAGGATGTTCGTAATGGGGATTGAGGAATTGGAGAGGGCAGGATGGAGTAATGGATAGCGGCTTGGATTGAAGAATGTGGAGTAATTGGAGGAGGCAGGATGGAGTAATGGATAGTGGCGGCTTGGATTGAGGAATGGAGGAGGCAGGATGGAGTAATGGATAGTGGCTCGGATTGAGGAATTGGAGGAGGCAGTGGCGATGGAGTAATGGATAGTGGCTTGGATTGAGGAATTGAGGAGGCAGGTTGGATTCCAATGGATAATGGATAGGATTGTAGGAATTGGAGGAGGCAGGATGGAGTAATGGATAGTGGCTCGGATTGAAGGAATTGGAGGAGGCAAGGATGGATTAATGGATAGTGGCTCGGATTGAGGAATTGGAGGAGGCAGGATGGAGTAATGGATAGTGGCTTGGATTGAGGAATTGGAGGAGGCAGGATGGAGTAATGGATGTCTGGCTCGGATTGTGGAATTGGAGGAGGCAGTAATGGAGTAATGGATAGAGGCTCGGATTGAGGAATTGGAGGAGGCAGGAATGGATAATGGATAGGATTGATTGAGGAATTGGAGGAGGCAGGATGGAGTAATGGATAGTGGCTCGGATTGAGGAAATGGAGGAGGCAGGATGGAGTAATGGATTACATGGCGGATTGATGGAATATTGGAGGAGGCAGGATGGAGTAATGGATAGCTGCTTGGATTGAGGAATTGGAGGAGGCAGGATGGAGTAATGGATAGTGGCTCGGATTGAGGAATTGGAGGAGGCAGGATGGAGTAATGGATAGCTGTGGATTGAGGAATGAGGAGGTTCGGATGGAGTAATGGAGCCATTAACGGATTGAGGAATTGAGGAGGCAGGATGGAGTAATGGATAGCGGCTTGGATTGAGGAATCGGAGGAGGCAGGATGGAGTAATGGATGAGTGGCATCGGATTGGAATTTGTCTAAGGATGGAGTAATGGATAGCTGCTCGGATTGAGAAGGAATTGGAGGAGGCAAGGATGGAGTAATGGATAGCTGCTTGGATTGAGGAATTGGAGGAGGCAGGATGGAGTAATGGATTACATTCGGATTGAGGAAGCCGTGTTGGAGGAGGCAGGATGGAGTAATGGATAGCTGCTTGGATTGAGGAATTGGAGGAGCCGTGTTGGAGTAATCTATTGGATCATGGAATTGGAGGAGGCGCGATGGAGTAATGGATATGGCTCGGATTGAGGAATTGGAGGAGGCAGGATGGAGTAATGGATAGCGGCTCGGATTGAGGAATTGGAGGAGGCAGGATGGAGTAATGGATAGCTGCTTGGATTGAGGAATTGGAGGAGGTTCAGGATGGATAATGGATATTAATGGATTGAGGAATTGGAGGAGGCAGGATGGAGTAATGGATAGTGGCTCGGATTGAGGAATTGGAGGAGGCAGGATGGAGTAATGGATAGCTGCTTGGATTGAGGAATTGGAGGAGGCAGGATGGATTCAATGGATTACATTCGGATTGCTAATACTGGAGGAGGCAGGATGGAGTAATGGATAGCGGCTTGGATTGAGGAATTGGAGGAGGCAGGATGGAGTAATGGATAGTGGCTCGGATTGAGGAATTGGAGGAGGCAGGATGGAGTAATGGATAGTAATGGATTGAGGAATTGGAAGGTAATGGAGAGTTCGATGGAGGTAATGGATAATGGATGGTGGCTCGGATTGCTAATTGGAGGAGGCAGGATGGAGTAATGGATAGCTGCTCGGATTGAGGAATTGGAGGAGGCAGGGAATCATGCTAAATGGATAGGCGGATGGATTGGAGGAAATTGGATTGAGGAATGGAGTAATGGATAGCCTCGGATTGAGGAATTGAGGATCACGATGGAGTAATGGATAGCTGCTCGGATTGAGGAATTGGAGGAGGCGTGTTGGAGTAATGGATACATTACTGATTGAGGAATGGAGGAGGCTTGGATGGAGTAATGGATAGCGTGCTCGGATTGAGGAATTGGAGGAGGCAGGATGGAGTAAATGGATACATGGCTTCGGATTGAGGAATTGGAGGAGGCAGGATGGAGTAATGGATAGCTGCTTGGATTGAGGAATTGGAGGAGGCAGGATGGAGTAATGGAATCACTGTCTATTAATGGATAGCTGCTTGGATTAATAATTGGAGGAGGCGCGATGGAGTAATGGATAGCTGCTTGGATTGAGGAATCGGAGGGAGGCAGTGTTGGAATTCAATGGATACATTAGTGATTGCTAAATTGGAGGAGGCAGCGATGGAGTAATGGATAGCGGCTTGGATTGAGGAATTGAGGAGGCAGGATGGAGTAATGGATAGTGGCTCGGATGGAGGAATTGAGGATGGAGTATGGAATGGAGAGGAATCGGATGAGGAATTGGAGGAGGCAGGATGGAGTAATGGATAGCTGCTCGGATTGAGGAATCGGAGGAGGCAGGATGGATGGAGTCGGATTGGAATGGATACATTAATTGGATTGAGTAATTAGAGGAGGAATCACTGATGGAGTAATGGATAGCGGCTTGGATTGAGGAATTGGAGGAGGCAGGTTGGAGTAATGGATACATTGTCGGATAATGGAATTGAGGAGGCAGGATGGAGTAATGGATAGTGGCTTGGATTGAGGAATTGGAGGAGGCAGGATGGATAATGGATGCTCGGATTGAGGAATTGGAGGAGGCAGGATGGAGTAATGGATATGGATTGAGGAATGGAGGAGCAGAGTTGGATTACATTAGGCAGGATGGAATAATGGATAGAGGAGGAATCAGGATGGAGTAATGGATAGCGGCTTGGATTGAGGGAATCGGAGGATGGAGTGTTGGATAGTTCGGAATGGAATTGAGGAGGCAGGATGGAGTAATGGATAGCGGCTCGATTGAGGAATTGGAGGAGGCAGGATGGAGTAATGGATAGCTGCTTGGATTGAGGAATCGGAGGAGGCAGTTCGATTCAATGGAGGCATGGCTAATTGGATTGATGGAGTAATGGATAGTGGCTCGGATTGAGGAATTGGATAGGATGGAGTAAGGATTGGAGTAATGGACATGGTGGGTGGTTTCGATTGAGGAATTGGAGGAGGCAGGATGGAGTAATGGATAGTGGCTTGGATTGAGGAATTGGAGGAGGCAGGATGGAGTAATGGAATGCTCGGATTGAGGAATTCATGCTGGAGTAATGGATAGCGGCTTGGATTGAGGAATTGGAGGAGGCAGGATGGAGTAATGGATAGCGGATTGGAATTGAGGAAGGATGGAGTAATGGATAGTGGCTTCGAGAGGAATTGGAGGAGGCAAATTCAATAATGGATATGGATAGCTACTTGGATTGAGGAATTGGAGGAGGCAGGATGGAGTAATGGATAGCTGCTTGGATTGAGGAATTGGAGGCAGGATGGAGTAATGGATAGTGGCTCGGATTGAGGAATTGGAGGAGGCAGGATGGAGTAATGGATAGTGGCTCGGATTGAGGAATTGGAGGAGGCAGGATGGAGTAATGGATAGTGGCTTGGATTGAGGAATTGGAGAGCAGAGTTGGAATTGGAATGGATTAATTGGACAGGATGGGAGTAATGGATAGCTGCTGGATTGAGGAATTGAGGAGGCGATGGAGTAA